TTCACCATTAGCCCTGTTAGAGGCTTCACCATCAGCCCTGATAGAGACTCCACCATCAGCCCTGCTAGAGACTCCACCATCAGCCTTGCTAGAGATTCCACCATCACCCCTGTTAGAGACTCCACCATCACCCCTGTTAGAGACTCCACCATCAGCCCTGTTAGAGACTCCACCATCACCCCTGTTAGAGACTCCACCATCAGCCCTGTTAGTGGCTCCACCATCAGCCTTGTTAGAGACTCCACCATCAGCCCTGTTAGAGACTCCACCATCGGCCCTGCTAGAGACTCCACCATCAACCCTGCTAGAGACTCCACCATCATCCCTGCTAGAGACTCCACCATCAGCCCTGCTAGAGACTCCACCATCATCCCTGCTAGCGACTCCACCATCAGCCCTCTTAGAGACTCCACCATCAGCCCTGTTAGAGTCTCCACAATCATCCCTGCTAGAGACTCCACCATCAGCCCTGTTAGAGGCTTCACCATCAGCCCTGTTAGAGGCTCCACCATCAGCCCTGTTAGAGACTCCACCATCAGCCCTGCTAGAGACTCCACCATCAGCCCTGCTAGAGACTCCACCATCATCCCTGCTAGAGACTCCACCATCAGCCCTGCTAGAGACTCCACCATCATCCCTGCTAGCGACTCCACCATCAGCCCTCTTAGAGGCTTCACCATTAGCCCTGTTAGAGGCTTCACCATCAGCCCTGCTAGAGACTCCACCATCACCCCTGTTAGAGACTCCACCATCACCTCTGTTAGAGACTCCACCATCATCCCTGTTAGAGGCTTCACCATCAGCCCTGTTAGAGACTCCACCATCAGCCCTGCTAGAGACTCCACCATCATCCCTGTTAGAGACTCCACCATCAGCCCTGCTAGAGACTCCACCATCAGCCCTGCTAGAGACTCCACCATCAGCCCTGCTAGAGACTCCACCATCAACCCTGTTAGAGACTCCACCATCAGCCATGTTAGAGACTCCACCATCAGCCCTGTTAGAGGCTCCACCATCAGCCTTGTTAGAGACTCCACCATCAGCCCTGTTAGAGACTCCACCATCAGCCTTTTAGAGACTCCACCATCATCCCTGTTAGAGACTCCACCATCAGCCCTGTTAGAGGCTCCACCATCAGCCCTGCTAGAGACTCCACCATCAGCCCTGTTAGAGACTCCACCATAAGCCCTGTTAGAGACTCCACCATCAGCCCTGTTAGAGGCTCCACCATCAGCCCTGTTAGAGACTCCACCATCAGCCCTGTTAGAGACTCCACCATCAGCCCTGCTAGAGACTCCACCATCAGCCCTGTTAGAGACTCCACCATCAGCCCTGTTAGAGACTCCACTATCAGCCCTGTTAGAGACTCCACCATCAGCCCTGCTAGAGACTCCACCATCAGCCCTGCTAGAGACTCCACCATCATCCCTGCTAGAGACTCCGCCATCAGCCCTGCTAGAGACTCCACCATCATCCCTGCTAGCGACTCCACCATCAGCCCTCTTAGAGACTCCACCATCAGCCCTGTTGAGTCTCCACCATCATCCCTGCTAGAGACTCCACCATCAGCCCTGTTAGAGGCTTCACCATCAGCCCTGTTAGAGGCTTCACCATTAGCCCTGTTAGAGGCTTCACCATCACCCCTGATAGAGACTCCACCATCAGCCCTGCTAGAGACTCCACCATCAGCCCTGCTAGAGACTCCACCATCACCCCTGTTAGAGACTCCACCATCAGCCCTGCTAGAGACTCCACCATCAGCCCTGCTAGAGACTCCACCATCAACCCTGTTAGAGACTCCACCATCAGCCCTGTTAGAGACTCCACCATCAGCCCTGTTAGAGGCTCCACCATCAGCCTTGTTAGAGACTCCACCATCAGCCCTGTTAGAGACTCCACCATCAGCCGTGTTAGAGACTCCACCATCATCCCTGTTAGAGACTCCACCATCAGCCCTGTTAGAGGCTCCACCATCAGCCCTGCTAGAGACTCCACCATCAGCCCTGTTAGAGACTCCACCATCAGCCCTGTTAGAGACTCCACCATCAGCCCTGTTAGAGACTCCACCATCAGCCCTGTTAGAGACTCCACCATCAGCCCTGCTAGAGACTCCACCATCAGCCCTGTTAGAGACTCCACCATCAGCCCTGTTAGAGACTCCACCATCAGCCCTGTTAGAGACTCCACCATCAGCCCTGCTAGAGACTCCACCATCAGCCCTGCTAGAGACTCCACCATCATCCCTGCTAGAGACTCCGCCATCAGCCCTGCTAGAGACTCCACCATCATCCCTGCTAGCGACTCCACCATCAGCCCTCTTAGAGACTCCACCATCAGCCCTGTTGAGTCTCCACCATCATCCCTGCTAGAGACTCCACCATCAGCCCTGTTAGAGGCTTCACCATCAGCCCTGTTAGAGGCTTCACCATTAGCCCTGTTAGAGGCTTCACCATCAGCCCTGATAGAGACTCCACCATCAGCCCTGCTAGAGACTCCACCATCAGCCTTGCTAGAGATTCCACCATCACCCCTGTTAGAGACTCCACCATCACCCCTGTTAGAGACTCCACCATCAGCCCTGTTAGAGACTCCACCATCACCCCTGTTAGAGACTCCACCATCAGCCCTGTTAGAGGCTCCACCATCAGCCTTGTTAGAGACTCCACCATCAGCCCTGTTAGAGACTCCACCATCAGCCTTGTTAGAGACTCCACCATCATCCCTGTTAGAGACTCCACCATCAGCCCTGTTACAGGCTCCACCATCAGCCCTGCTAGAGACTCCACCATCAGCCCTGTTAGAGACTCCACCATCAGCCCTGTTAGAGACTCCACCATCGGCCCTGCTAGAGACTCCACCATCAACCCTGCTAGAGACTCCACCATCATCCCTGCTAGAGACTCCACCATCAGCCCTGCTAGAGACTCCACCATCATCCCTGCTAGCGACTCCACCATCAGCCCTCTTAGAGACTCCACCATCAGCCCTGTTAGAGTCTCCACAATCATCCCTGCTAGAGACTCCACCATCAGCCCTGTTAGAGGCTTCACCATCAGCCCTGTTAGAGGCTCCACCATCAGCCCTGTTAGAGACTCCACCATCAGCCCTGCTAGAGACTCCACCATCAGCCCTGCTAGAGACTCCACCATCATCCCTGCTAGAGACTCCACCATCAGCCCTGCTAGAGACTCCATCATCATCCCTGCTAGCGACTCCACCATCAGCCCTCTTAGAGGCTTCACCATTAGCCCTGTTAGAGGCTTCACCATCAGCCCTGCTAGAGACTCCACCATCAGCCCTGCTAGAGACTCCACCATCAACCCTGTTAGAGGCTCCACCATCAGCCCTGCTAGAGACTCCACCATCATCCCTGCTAGAGACTCCACCCTCAGCCCTGTTAGAGACTCCACCATCAGCCCTGTTAGAGACTCCACCATCAGCCCTGCTAGAGGCTCCACCATCAGCCCTGTTAGAGGCTCCACCATCATCCCTGTTAGAGGCTCCACCATCAGCCCTGTTAGAGGCTTCACCATCAACCCTGTTAGAGACTCCACCATCAGCCCTGTTAGAGACTCCACCATCAGCCCTGTTAGAAACTCCACCATCACCCCTGTTAGAGACTCCACCATCATCCCTGTTAGAGACTCCACCATCAGCCCTGTTAGAGACTCCACCATCAGCCCTGCTAGAGGCTCCACCATCAGCCCTGTTAGAGGCTCCACCATCATCCCTGTTAGAGGCTCCACCATCAGCCCTGTTAGAGGCTTCACCATCAGCCCTGTTAGAGACTCCACCATCAGCCCTGTTAGAGACTCCACCATCATCCCTGCTAGAGACTCCACCATCAGCCCTGTTAGAGACTCCACCATCAGCCCTGTTAGAGACACCACCATCAGCCCTGTTCGAGACTTCACCATCAGCCCTGTTAGAGACTCCACCATCAGCCCTGCTAGAGACTCCACCATCAGCCCTGTTAGAGACTCCACCATCAGCCCTGCTAGAGACTCCACCATCAGCCCTGTTAGAGGCTCCACCATCAGCCCTGCTAGAGACTCCACCATCAGCCCTGTTAGAGACTCCACCATCAGCCCTGCTAGAGACTCCACCATCAGCCCTGTTAGAGACTCCACCATCAGCCCTGCTAGAGACTCCACCATCAGCCCTGCTAGAGACTCCACCATCAGCCCTGTTAGAGACTCCACCATTAGCCCTGTTAGAGACTCCACCATCAGCCCTGTTAGAGGCTCCACCATCAGCCCTGTTAGATTCTCCACCACCAGCCCTGCTAGAGACTCCACCATCAGCCCTGTTAGAGGCTCCACCATCAGCCCTGTTAAAGACTCCACCATCAGCCCTGCTAGAGGCTCCAACATCAGCCCTGCTAGAGACTCCACCATCAGCCCTGCTAGAGGCTCCAACATCAGCCCTGCTAGAGACTGCACCATCAGCCCTGTTAGAGGCTCCACCATCAGCCCTGTTAGATTCTCCACCACCAGCCCTGCTAGAGACTGCACCATCAGTCCTGTGAGAGACTCCACCATCAGCCCTGTTAGAGACTCCACCATCAGTCCTGTGAGAGACTTCACCATCAGCCCTGTTAGAGGCTCCACCATCAGCCCTGCTAGAGACTCCACCATCAGCCCTGCTAGAGACTCCACCATCAGCCCTGTTAGAGGCTTCACCATCAGCCCTGTTAGAGACTCCACCATCAGCCCTGCTAGAGACTCCACCATCAGCCCTGTTAGAGGCTTCACCATCAGCCCTGTTAGAGACTCCACCATCAGCCCTCTTAGAGACTCCACCATCAGCCCTGTTAGAGACTCCACCATCAGCCCTGTTAGAGACTCCACCATCAGCCCTGTTAGACCAATATCCCTGCTGCTGCTCGCTTACTGACAGCACTTGACCCCCGACCCCCCCGCCCTCCGAATGGTCGAGGCTACCACGCTTCGCTTTTTGTGACACGCGGGCGACCCCGCCTCTTCTTTGCGTCTTTCCAGCGAGCGGCAGCCCCCTGCTGGGCGCCGACGTCTGCTCGCGAGGGCCCGGATTCTGGTGCAAGAACGCCGGCACGGCCTCGCGGTGCCGGGCTCTCGAGCAGTGCTCGAGCGTCTACTGGGCCCAGCCCACAGCGGTGAGCTCCTCCCCCGACGCACAACCGCGCAACCACAGCCCAGAGTGCAGCGGCGTTAGACCGGAGGGCAACGTCAAAAACGGCGCGAACAGCGCAAAGGGGCGATGCCACCGTCAGGACATTGAGAGCTCGGCAGCTGGCAGCTACATGATGGTGACCTCCCTTGCCGCTCTCAATGTACGAGCGTCGGTGCTCGACACTTCCTGTGCAGCAGTGGCACAGGGCGGTTGCGTGTTAAGGCGTTTAGAAGCACCAAACGGAAACGTTTTGCGAGGCGTCCACCTCGCTGCATCAACCACATACGCTCGTGATGAACTTGCACGCAGGCAACAATTGCTGCGGTTGCCTACGGCGGCGTTGTCTCTCGCAATAATGACGCGACCGTTGTTTATATGGCGTCGTCTTTGAGTCCGATCGGTCCACACCACAGACGGCTTTCGTTGGGGCCCGGTCTAAAGGACAATGCACCGTGAGGGCATTTATGGGTCGGGGTTCGGCAGCTGCATCATGGTGACCGCCCTTGCCAGCATCCAAAACATGAGAATCGGTGTTTGAGCCGTTCTATGCAGCAGTGAAACAGAAGGTTGTTGCGTGCTAAGACGCTTAAAACACCAGACGGAAACTTGTTCTTTCTTGCGAGGATTAGCCCCCACTGCATTAACCACGTATACTTTGTGGTGAACACGCAAACAAGACAAGCATGCTCTGGTAGTATTTAATGGAATTGTCTTCATATGCAGAATGTAGAGATATCATCACCAGTTTACAGAGATGACATCATCACCAGTATACAGAGATGACATCATCACCAGTATACAGAGATGACATCATCACCAGTATACAGAGATGACATCATCACCAGTATACAGGGATGACATCTTCACCAGTTTACAGAGATGACATCATCACCAGTATAGAGATAACATCACCAGTATACAGAGATGACATCATCACCAGTTTACAGAGATGACATCATCACCAGTATAGAGATAACATCACCAGTATACAGAGATGACATCATCACCAGTTTACAGAGATGACATCATCACCAGTATAGAGATAACATCATCACCAGTATACAGAGATGACATTATCACCAGTTTACAGAGATGATATCATCATCACCAGTTTACAGAGATGACATCATCACCAGTATAGAGATAACATCATCACCAGTACACACAGATGACATCATCAACAGTATACAGAGATGTCGTCTTCATCATGGTAACCATGGTCATCGTCATGGTAACCATCATCGTAACCATGGTAATCATCGTAACCACGGTAACTGTCGTGATAACCATGGTAACCGTCCGCTTAACCGCCGCCAGGGTGACCTGCCCTGTGACGTCTGCAAGGAGTCGGTGGGCGCCGTGGACGAGCTCCTGAAGAGCAACGCCACGGAGGTGAGGGCACCCACACACACCGGGTGTGTCACGGGGTGTGTCACGGGGGGGTGTGTCACGGGGTGTGTCAGGGGTGTGTCACGGGGTGTGTCACGGGGGGGTGTGTCACGGGGGGGTGTGTCACGGGGGGGTGTGTCACGGGGGGGTGTGTCACGGGGTGTGTCACGGGGTGTGTCACGGGGGTGTGTCACGGGGTGTGTCACGGGGTGTGTGTCACGGGGTGTGTGTCAGGGGGTGTGTCAGGGGGTGTGTCACGGGGTGTGTCACGGGGTGTGTCACGGGGTGTGTCAGGGGTGTGTCACGGGGTGTGTCACGGGGTGTGTCAGGGGGTGTGTCACGGGGTGTGTCACGGGGTGTGTGTCAGGGGGTGTGTCACGGGGTGTGTCACGGGGTGTCTGTCACGGGGTGTCTGTCACGGGGTGTGTCACGGGGTGTGTGTCACGGGGTGTGTGTCACGGGGTGTGTGTCACGGGGTGTGTCACGGGGTGTGTCAGGGGGTGTGTGTCAGGGGGTGTGTCACGGGGTGTGTCACGGGGTGTGTCAGGGGTGTGTCACGGGGTGTGTCACGGGGTGTGTCACGGGGTGTGTCACGGGGTGTGTGTCAGGGGGTGTGTCACGGGGTGTGTCACGGGGTGTCTGTCACGGGGTGTGTCACGGGGTGTGTCACGGGGTGTGTGTCACGGGGTGTGTGTCACGGGGTGTGTCACGGGGTGTGTCAGGGGGTGTGTCACAGGGTGTGTCATGGGGTGTGTCACGGGGGGGGGTGTGTCACGGGGTGTGTCACGGGGTGTGTGTCACGGGGTGTGTCACGGGGTGTGTCAGGGGGTGTGTCACTGGGTGTGTCAGGGGGGTGTGTCAGGGGGGTGTGTCAGGGGTGTGTCAGGGGGGGTGTATCAGGGGGGGTGTGTCACGGTGTGTGTCACGGGGTGTGTCACGGGGTGTGTCAGGGGTGTGTCAGGGGGTGTGTCAGGGGGGGTGTGTCAGGGGGGGTGTGTCACGGGGGGTGTGTCACGGGGTGTGTTACGGGGTGTGTCGGGGGGGTGTGTCACGGGGTGTGTCAGAGGGGTGTGTCACAGGGGTGTGTCAGAGGGGTGTGTCAGGGGGGGTGTGTCAGGGGGGGTGTGTCAGGGGGGGTGTGTCACGGGGTGTGTCAGGGGTGTGTCAGGGGGGGTGTGTCACGGGGTGTGTCACGGGGTGTGTCACGGGGTGTGTCACGGGGGGTGTCACGGGGGGTGTGTCAGGGGTGTGTCAGGGGTGTGTCAGGGGTGTGTCACTGGGTGTGTCACGGGGTGTGTCACAGGGGGTGTGTCAGGGGTGTGTCAGGGGGGTGTGTCACGGGGGGTGTGGCAGAAGGTGAGGGCACCCACCACCATCAACAACAACCGCCATTCGCCACTAAGTGGCGGTGATGTCACCAAGACGCTTGTGCCAGGCTATGTGCACCTTGAGGCCACGTGAAGTGTCGAACGCCCGCTGGCAGGAGGTCACGGGGTAGACCCAGCAGGTGCCACGGGTCGACTGACTGAGACGACTGAGATGACTGGCTGATGCACCACCTGTGCCCCCTACTGTGCCAACTTGCTGTGCTTTAGCCACCCGTTGCTCCGCTCCTTGTTGTGAGCGTTGCTCCTCCACCCTCTGTTGTTGTTGGAGGGTGACTGCCTCCAACTGTCCAGTAGCAGCGTCCTTCACGAGCCTCCTCCAAAGAGGCCGATCTTGACACCGCTGGTACCAGTCATCGGCAAGTCCACTCAGCTCCACATCCTCCTGTACCACATCACTCCATCTGTTCTCTAGCCCATGCCGCGCCCGTTTAACCCCCTCGATCCGGCCGAACAAAAGCTGTTTCGGCATGCGGTGACTGGGCATTCGGGCTACATGACCCAGCCAACGCAGCCTTGCCTCCCGGAGCTCACCGATAGGACTTTGTCCAGATCTTTCAAGGATTTGTGAGCTCTTCACACAATCCAGCCTGGTTAAACCGAGGATGGATCATAGGCAGGCCAGCCTAAATGTTTCTCACCGGTGAAGATCTTCCATTGGGGGGGGGGGTCCACGTTTCGCAAGGATAGAGAATGGAGGGAATGACCCTGGCCGAGAAGACCTGAAGCGTTACACAACCGATGAAAAGATAATGCCGCTCGACTGATTCGGAGTGAGACCTCTGCTGTTAAACCAGAGCCGGTCATGAGCACACTGCCCAGGTATGGGAAACTCTTCAATCTCTCCACAACTGCCCCATCACCAATTGGGAGTTGTGGGGGTGGATTGTTCAGTGGTACAAAATACCCAAGCAGGTGCTTAGTTTTGGTGGTTCTGATGGTAAGGCCCCACCTCTTAGTGGCATGCTCCAGGTTCAGCAGCAGCGCCTCCAACTCCTCCTCTGAGTGAGCGGCAATTACCAGATCATCGGTCAACATGGTTGACCAATAGGGAGCCATCCCTTGACCGCACTCGGGCATCGATCAGCCTCCCATTGTATCTGTGCCAGATGGAAATTCCACCGGCACAGCCATCAAAGGCTTCACGAACTACGTGGTCGAAAAAAATGTGAAATAATGTGGGAGCCAGAGGACATCCCTGTCGCACCCCAAGGTGAACAGGTAATGGCTCCGACTCCCGGCCACGTAGTTTTACCCGGGCCCGCTCACCATCATGAATGTCCTTAATGATCATGAGTAGAGGGTCAGAGACTCCGAAAGCACGAAGAATAACCCAGAGCCCAGGCCTACTGATGGTATCATAGGCCTTGACCAGGTCAATAAAGCAGAGATGTAGGTCTTGTTGGAATTCCCTACACCTCTGCTGTAGCAGACGGACAGAAAATATGGCATCTGTGCAGGATCGCCCTTTCCTAAAACCGCATTGGGGCTCCACAAGCCTCTCCTCAGCGTGCCTGGCAAGGCGATATTGAATAATCCTTGCCCAGGACCTTTCCCGGCAGACTGAGAAGTGAGATGCCCCTGTAGTTGTTACAGTCTGTGTGGCCCCCTTCTTAAAGAGGGCGACCACCAGGGCATCCTTCCAATCCTGCGGAACCCATCTGGTGGTCCAGATTGTTGTTATGATGTCATGTAGGACAGTTTGTGTACAAACGCCACCCTCCCTCAGCATTTCGCTTGGGAGCTCATCTCTGCCTGGTGCCTTTCCTGGTCTCAGACTCTGGATCACCTTTAGTACTTCCTCAACAAATGGCACCTCAGCCAGCCACTCACAGGGGGTGACTTTTTCTTCCAATATTTGAGACACCGCAGCCTCAGCAGGGTCATCCCCACTTTGCCCCACGATGTTTTCTATGCCGAGGGATTCCCCCTCCCCCACGACTTCACAGAAAAGCTCAGCAAATCTGCAAACCTGTTCCTGGGGGTCGGTGATTGGATCACTGTTTTTTCCCCTAATGATGGTAATAGGTGTGGTGCTGCAGGATGCTTTTTTGATGGAGTTAAAAAAGTGATTTGTGATCATGGGCCATTGAGGCAGACTCCATCTCCTCAGCAACTCGCGACCACCACCAATCCTTGCAGGGCCTCACGGCTCTCCGAACCTCCAAACGAAGGCTGCGGTAAGCCTCCTCATTCTCTGACATGGGATGCTGTATACGATGAGAGTGGGCCTGTCGCTTTTTCTCAGCCAGCCTGAACACCTCCTCCGTCAGCCAGGGTCTTAAACCTCGCCTATTTCCCCTCGACATCTGGAGGAGAGGGGGACGATGCCAACCCCAGCTGCAAGTGATGATTAAATTCTCGCTTGTAGCTTTCATCAGCTAGCTGAGACCAGGCCATCTTGGGTTTGAATGGGGTCCTTGGTGTACACCAACCACCGGAGTGGAAGAATGGCAGGCACATCTTACAGATGACAAGTCGATGGTCAGTGGGCAGATCAGCTCCACGGTAGGTCCTGATGTCAAGGACATGGGCCCACATCCGCTGTTCCGTCACTACGTAGTCCAGCAGATGTTCTTGCTTGGACCCAGCATGCATCCATGATGTTGTGTGGATGTGCCAATGGCGGAACAGCGTGTTGGTAATTACAAGCCCTATGGGCTGCACAAAAATCTAGCAGCCTCCTAGCATTGTTATTGAGCTGATCTGGCCCATGCCTTCCAATCACTCCAGACCAGGTGCCAGCATCATGACCAACTCGGGCATTGCAGTCTCCCAACAGGATGACTCTATCCCGAGGGGCCACTTTAGCCAGCACCTGTGACAGGAGGTCATAGAAGGCATCTGACTCATCGGCCTTGCCTGCATCTCTCCACGGATGTTCATTTTCGGTGGGGGCATAAGTAACCACGACCACCACTCCTCGCCTCTGGTTGATGGGAAGGCGTGCCCAAAGTAGTCTGCGGCTTACCGCTTCCTACACCTCACCGCCACGCTTCCACGCCCCCTTCATTCTTTTGTTCAGAAGAAGAGCCACTCCCTGTTGTTTGACAGTCTCCTGTCCTGAGTAGAGGACTGTCCACCCTTTATGGTGGCAGGAGCCAGAGCTGGTCCACCGGACCTCCTGAATGCCACAGAGATCCAGGCGGTACCGGTCCAGCTCCCAACAGAGGAGTGGCAGCCTCTCCTCCGCAGTGAGCGTTCGAACATTCCACGTGGCCATCCGAAGTGGCTTTATGTTGTTTCTGGAGGAGCCCCGAGGGTAAAGATTCAGTCTTCTGGCTCTGCCATATGGGGTTTGGCCAGGAGACGTTATAGATGCCTGTCCCCCCAGGGCCTCCGGCACAAACTCATGAAGTAGATATTTTATACTTAGTTTTGTGGTAATTAATTGAAGGTGTAGGGGTTACTGGCCCCTCGCACCCGTCCATAATCCCCCATTTGGCCGTTGTGGTGGTTGCAAACGCCCTGAAGGGAAAGGCCACTCGGAATTGGCCCTCCCCCCACGGCACTGCCCACCACAGCGTTGCCGTCCGGCGCCACGGGGAGGTTGTTTTTGCCGCTCACCACCATCATCACCATCATCACCATCACCACCATCACCACCATCACCACCACGACCATCACCACCATCACCACCACGACCATCACCACCACACCACCACTACCACACCACTCCACCACCACACCACCACTACCACCATCACCACCATCACCACCATCACCACCACGACCATCACCACCATCACCACCACCACCACACCACCACCACACCACCACTACCACACCACTCCACCACCACACCACCACCACACCACCACTACCACCATCGCAACCCCCCCCCCCTCCCCCCATGTGCCACTTCTACAGCAGGAGGTGGCCGCGCTGCTGCTCCGCTTGTGTGAGGCGGTGTCCGACGAGGCGCTCCGCACCCAGTGCCAGGAGATGGTGAAGACAGAGCTACCGGCACTGCTCGCCACGCTGGAGAGGGCCCTTGTGAGTCTCTGTGTGAGTGTGAGTCTGTGTGTGTGTGTGAATCTGTGTGTGTGTGAATCTGTGTGTGTGTGTGTGAGTCTGTATGTGTGTGTGAGTCTGTATGTATGTATGTGTGTGTCTGTCTGTATGTGTCTCTGTGTGAGTCTGTGTGTGTGTGTGAATCTCTGCGTGAGTCTCTGTGTGAGTCTCCCTGTAAGTTTGTATGTGTGAGTCTCTGTGTGAGTCTCCCTGTAAGTCTGTATGTGTGAGTCTCTGTGTGAGTCTCCCTGTAAGTTTGTATGTGTGAGTCTCTGTGTGAGTCTCCCTGTAAGTCTGTATGTGTGAGTTTCTGTGTGAGTCTCCCTGTAAGTCTGTATTTGTGAGTCTCTGTGTGAGTCTCTGTGTGAGTCTCCCTGTAAGTCTGTATGTGTCAGTCTATGTGTGAGTCTGTGTGAGTCTCCCTGTAAGTCTGTATGTGTGAGTCTGTGTGAGTCTCTGTGTGAGTCTCCCTGTAAGTCTGTATGTGTGAGTCTCTGTGTGTCTGTGTGTGAGTTTCTATGTGAGTCTGTGTGTGTGTGTGTGGATCTCTGCGTGAATCTCTGTGTGAGTCTCTGTGTAAGTCTCCCTGTAAGTCTGTATGTGTGAGTCTCTGTGTGAGTCTGTGTGTGTGAATCTCTGCGTGAAATCTCTGCGTGAGTCTCTGTGTTCGTCTGTGTTTGTGTGAATCTCTGCGTGAATCTCTGTGTGTGAAGCTGGATGGGGGGAAGTGTGCGGGGCTGGAAGTGGGAGGCTGAGAGAGGTGGGGATGCGGGGGGGGAGGAGGCAAGAACAAAGCAGCAACAATGCCAATGAAACAAAAAATGCGAATGCAGCAGCAATGCCAAATGCTGGGGATGCAATTAACTTGGCAAAATAGACTAGTGCCGGGCACTATTCTATTTTGAGAGAGAGACAGAGAGTCGAAATATGGCTTCATGAAGCCATCCAGATATATAAACACAGACAACACAACTTCAACCGAGAGGATGGGTACACACTGAGCAGTCATTGAAAGGACATTATTAACCAGGTAAAGTCTTAACTGACTATGATATTTCCATCCAACCTGCATATGTCAGCTGTTATTTCTGACTCTCTGTGTCTCTCGCTCTATGCCTTTCTCTGCTCACATGTCCTTTGCATTGCACTCTCATGCCTTCGGATTGCACGCTCATGCTCACATGTCCTTTGGATTGCACTCTCATGCTCACGCGTCTTTTGGATTGCACTCTCATGCTCACGTGTCTTTTGGATTGCACTCTCATGCTCACATGCCCTTTGGATTGTACTCTCTTGCTCAAATGAATACATTAACTAACAACAAAACTAAACTAACAAAAAAACTAAACTCAAAAAGAACAAGTTTACAAAAAATTCAACAAAACAAAAACTAAACTAACTAAAACTAATAAATTAATTCACAACAAAACTAAATTAACAAAAACTAACAAAAAAATTACAAAAACTATCAAAGAAACTAAACTTAAAATGAATACATTTCCGAAAAACTAAACTAACTAAAATGACGTAGAAGGGAAACAATAAATTAATAAAAAATATAAAACAATAATGATTGCTTGTGTTGCAATCGAAAAGGTCGTGAGAATTTTATTGTTTTATATTTTTATTATTTTATTGTTTCCCTTCTACGTGGTGGTGACTTTACCGAAAGAACCAAGAATATGAATCCCTGCAGTCACGAAAGCTTTAAATCAAAATTTTACTAAAATGAATACATTCATTAACAACTAAAATAAACTAACGTAAAAACTAAATGTCAGCAAACCCACTGTTGATTGCCAGTGGGTTTGCTGACATTTGGGCTACGCCCACTACAAACCTCTATAAACAGTTTGCCTTTAGAAGCTAAACCACCTCCCGTGATGTCTCTCCCCCCCCCCCCCCCCCCACTGCTACCTCCGTCAGAACCCCGGCGTGGTCTGCTCCTCGCTGGGTCTGTGCCGCTCCGCGCTGATGAGTCGTCACGGCTCTGACTCCGCCTCCTCTGACTCCGCCTCCTCTGACGCCGGTGACTCCGTCGTGCCGCGCGGCTCCCTGGTGGACGTCATGAGCCCCTTCATCAACAACGTCCCCCTGCTGCTCTACCCGCAGCAGGCGCGGCAGAACGAGGTGCCGCGACGTAGCGGTGTACATGCACAGTGGTGTACATACATGGTGTACATAGTGTACATACATACTGTAGAGTGTACATAGTGTACATACATAGTGGTGTACATACATAGTGGTGTACATACATAGTGTACATACATAGTGGTGTATACATAGTGTACATGCAACAGTAGTGTACATACATAGTAGTGTACCTACATAGTGTACATACATAGTGTACATACATAGTGGTGTACATACATAGTGTACATACATAGTGGTGTACATAGTGTACATGCAACAGAAGTGTACATACATAGTAGTGTACATAGTGTACATGCACAGTAGTGTACATACATAGTAGTGTACATAGTGTACATGCACAGTAGTGTACATAGTGTACATGCACAGTAGTGTACATACATAGTGGTGTACATAGTGTACATGCACAGTAGTGTACATACATACTGTAGAGTGTACATAGTGTACATGCACAGTAGTGTACATGCATAGTGGTGTACATAGTGTACATGCACAGTAGTGTACATACACAGTAGTGTACATAGTGTACATGCACAGTAGTGTACATAGTGTACATGCACAGTAGTGTACATACATAGTGTACATACATACTGTAGAGTGTGCATAGTGTACATACATAGTGGTGTACATACATAGTGGTGTACATAGTGTACATGCAACAGTAGTGTACATACATACTGTAGAGTGTACATAGTGTACATGCAACAGTAGTGTACATACATAGTAGTGTACATAGTGTACATGCACAGTAGTGTACATACATAGTAGTGTACATACATAGTGGTGTACATAGTGTACATGCACAGTAGTGTACATACATAGTGTACATACATAGTGTACATGCACAGTGGTGTACATACACAGTAGTGTACATACATAGTGGTGTACATACATAGTGGTGTACATAGTGTACATGCACAGTAGTGTACATACATAGTAGTGTACATACATAGTGTACATACATAGTGTACATGCGCAGTAGTGTACATACATAGTGTACATACATAGTGTACATACATACTGTAGAGTGTACATAGTGTACATACATAGTGTACATACATAGTAGTGTACATACATAGTGTACATACATAGTGGTGTACATACATAGTGTACATACATAGTGGTGTACATACATAGTGGTGTACATACTTAGTGGTGTACATACATAGTGGTGTACATAGTGTACATGCACAGTAGTGTACATACATAGTAGTGTACATACATAGTGTGCATACATAGTGTGCATACATAGTGTACATGCACAGTAGTGTACATACATAGTGTACATACATAGTGTACATACATACTGTAGAGTGTACATACATAGTGTACATACATAGTAGTGTACATACATAGTGTACATACATAGTGGTGTACATACATAGTGTACATACATAGTGTACATACATAGTGTACATACATAGTGGTGTACATACATAGTGGTGTACATACATAGTGGTGTACATACATTGTGTACATACATAGTGGTGTACATACATAGTGGTGTATATACATAGCTGTGTACATACATAGTGTACATACATAGTGGTGTACATACATAGTGGTGTACATACGTAGTGTACATACATAGTGGTGTACATACATAGTGGTGTACATACATAGTGTACATACATAGTGTGCATGCACAGTAGTGTACGTACATAGTGTACATACATAGTGTACATGCACAGTAGTGGACATACATAGTGGTGTACATACATAGCGGTGTACATACATAGTGTACAAACATAGTGTACATACATAGCGGTGTACATACATAGTGGTGTACATACATAGTGGTGTACATAGTGGTGTACATACGTAGTGGTGTACATACATAGTGGTGTACATAGTGTAGATACATAGTGGTGTACATACATAGTGGTGTACATACATAGTGGTGTACATACGTAGTGTACATACATAGTGGTGTACATACATAGTGGTGTACATACATAGTGGTGTACATACATAGTGTACATACATAGTGTGCATGCACAGTAGTGTACGTACATAGTGTACATACATAGTGTACATGCACAGTAGTGTACATACATAGTGTACATGCACAGCAGTGGACATACATAGTGGTGTACATACATAGCGGTGTACATACATAGTGTACAAACATAGTGTACATACATAGCAGTGTACATACATAGTGGTGTACATAGTGTACATACATAGTTGGTGTACATACATAGTGGTGTACATACATAGTGGTGGACATACATACTGTACATGCACAGTGTACATACATAGTGTACATACATAGTGTACATACATAGTGTACATACATAGTGTACATGCACAGTAGTGTACATACATAGTGTACATACATAGTGTACAGGCATAGTGGTGTACATACATAGTAGTGTACATAGTGTACATACATTGGTGTATATAGTGTACATACATAGTGTATATAGTGTACATGCATAGTAGTGTACATGGTGTACATACATAGTGTATATAGTGTACATGCATAGTAGTGTACATAGTGAACATGCATAGTATAAGTATTTACACTAGGTCTCTCACCGTCCCTCTATCTCTGTCTCTCTATCTGTTACGCACCATAACTCTCTCTCTCCATCTCTCTCTCTCCATCTCTCTCTATCTCTCTGTCTCTGTCTCTCCGTCTCTATCTCGCTCTCCATCTGTCTCTCTCCAACTCTCTATCTCTCTCTCTCCATCTCTCTCTCTCTCCATCTCTATCTCTCTCCGTCTATATCTCTCTCCGTCTCTATCTCTCTCTCCATCTCTCCGTCTCTATCTCTCTCTCCATCTCTATCTCTCTCCGTCTCTATCTCTCTCCGTCTCTATCTCTCTCTCTCCATCTCTCTCTCTCCATCTCTATCTCTCTCCGTCTTTCTCTCTCCATCTCTCTCTCTCCATCTCTATCTCTCTCCGTCTCTCTCTCTCCATCTCTATCTCTCTCTCTCCATCTCTATCTCTCTCTCCGTCTCTATCTCTCTCTCCATCTCTATCTCTATCCATCTCTATCTCTCTCCGTCTCTCTCTCTCTCTCCGTCTCTCTCTCTCTCTCTCCATCTCTCTATCTCTCTCTCTCCGTCTATCTCTCTCTCTCTCCGTCTCTCTCTCTCCATCTCTCTCTCTCTCCGTCTCTGTCTCTCTCTCCGTCTCTATCTCTCTCTCCATCTCTCTCTCTCCGTCTCTATCTCTCTCTCTCTCCGTGTCTCTATCTCTCTCTCTCCGTCTCTCTATCTCTCTCTCCGTCTCTCTGTCTCTCTCTCTCTCCGTCTCTCTCTCTCCGTCTCTCTCTCTCTCTCCACAGGGAGACTCCGCATCGTCTCGCGAGCCGTGCGAGGAGTGCGTGCGCTTCATGAGCTCCGCTCACGACCAGACCCCGCAGGGCGGCTACGACCCCTTCACACGACACCTGGTGCTGCAGTGCCAGCGCCTGCAGCCCGGAGCACGCGAATTGGTGGGCGGTGGTGGTGGGGGTGGGTCTGGAGGCTAGCAGCTCTGACCCTGAGACCCGGTCTCTACTCTAGACACTGAGACCCTGAGACCCGCTCTATACTCTAGACACTGAGACCCGGTCTCTACTCTAGACACTGACCCTGAGACCCGGTCTCAACTCTAGACACTGACCCTGAGACCCACTCTCTACTCTAGACACTGACCCTGAGACCCAGTCTCTACTCTAGACACTGAGACCCTGAGACCCGGTCTCTACTCTAGACACTGACCCTGAGACCTGGTCTCAACTCTAGACACTGAGACCCTGAGACCCGGTCTCTACTCTAGACACTGACCCTGAGACCCGGTCTCTACTCTAGACACTGAGACCCTGAGACCTGGTCTCTACTCTAGACACTGACCCTGAGACCCGCTCTCTACTCTAGACACTGAGACCCTAAGACCTGGTCTCTACTCTAGACTCTGACCCTGAGACCCGGTCTCTACTCTAGACACTGAGACCCTGAGACCCGGTCTCTACTCTAGACACTGACCCTGAGACCCGGTCTCAACTCTAGACACTGACCCTGAGACCCGCTCTCTACTCTAGACACTGACCCTGAGACCCGGTATCTACTCTAGACACTGAGACCCTGAGAACCGGTCTCTACTCTAGACACTGACCCTGAGACCTGGTCTCAACTCTAGACACTGACACGCTGAGACCCGGTCTCTACTCTAGACACTGACCCTGAGACCCGGTCTCTACTCTAGACACTGACCCTGAGACCCGCTCTCTACTCTAGACACTGACCCTGAGACCCGATCTCTACTCTAGACACTGAGACCCTGAGACCCGGTCCCTACCCTACTCTAGACACTGACCCTGAGACCCGGTCTCTACTATAGACTGACCCTGAGACCCGGTCTCTACTCTAGACACTGAGACCCTGAGACCCGGTCTCTACTCTAGACACTGACCCTGAGACCCGGTCTCTACTCTAGACACTGACCCTGAGACCCGGTCTCTACTCTGACACTGAGACCCTGAGACCCGGTCTCTACTCTAGACACTGACCCTGAGACCCGCTCTCTACTCCAAATACTGAGATCCTGAGACCCGGTCTCTACTCTAGACACTGACCCTGAGACCCGGTCTCTACTCTAGACACTGACCCTGAGACCCAGTCTCTACTCTAGACACTGAGACTCGCTCTCTACTCTAGACACTGACCCTGAGACCCGGTCTCTACTCTAGACACTGACCCTGAGACCCGGTCTCTACTCTAGACACTGACCCTGAGACCCGGTCTCTACTCTAGACACTGAGACCCTAAGACCCGCTCTTTACTCTAGACTCTGACCCTGAGACCCGCTCTCTACTCTAGACACTGAGACCCTGAGACCCGGTCTCTACTCTAGACACTGAGACCCGCTCTCTACTCTAGACACTGAGACCCGGTCTCTACTCTAGACACTGACCCTGAGACCCAGTCTCTACTCTAGACACTGACCCTGAGACCCGCTCTCTTCTCTAGACACTGACCCTGAGACCTGGTCTTTACTCTAGACACTGAGACCCTGAGACCCCCTCTCTACTCTAGACACTGAGAGCCTGAGACCTGGTCTCTACTCTAGACACTGAGACCCTGAGACCCGGTCTCTACTCTAGACACTGACCCTGAGACCCGCTCTCTACTCTAGACACTGACCCTGAGACCCGGTCTTTACTCTAGACACTGAGACCCTGAGACCCGGTCTCTACTCTAGACACTGACCCTGAGACCCGCTCTCTACTCTAGACACTGACCCTGAGACCCGCTCTCTACTATAGACACTGAGACCCTGAGACCCGGTCTCTACTCTAGACACTGACCCTGAGACCCGCTCTTTACTCTAGACACTGACCCTGAGACCCGGTCTTTACTCTAGACACTGAGACCCTCTCTCTACTCTAGACACTGACCCTGAGACCCGGTCTCCACTCTAGAAACTGAGACCCTGAGACCCGGTCTCTACTCTAGACACTGAGACCCTGAGACCCGGTCTATACTCTAGACACTGACCCTGAGACCCGCTCTCTACTCTAGACACTGACCCTGAGACCCGGTCTTTACTCTAGACACTGAGACCCGCTCTCTACTCTAGACTCTGACCCTGAGACCCGCTCTCACCAAGCGGCGCTAGGTGATTCCTAGCGCCGCTTGGCCCCCCTTCCAAATCAACAACTTTACCGTTCATTCTCCTCCCCCCATCTCCCCCCCTCCCCCATCTCCTCCCCACCTCTCCCCCGCGTCCCCTTGCCGTGCAGTGCAAGAGCTATGCTGTGGCCTATGCGGGGCAAGTGGCGGACACCGTGATGAACATGGTGAGATTCGAGCCCAGAACGTGCGCGTGTGTATGTGTGTGTGCGTGTGTGTGTGGGTGTGTGTGCGTGTGTGTATGTGCGTGTGTGTATGTGTGTGGATGTGTGTGTGTGGGTGTGTGTGGGTGGGTGTGTTTGTGTATGTGTGTGTGTAGATATTCAATCTCCAATTGGCGGAGCCAGGAGATTGAATATCTACCCTCGGGGCTCCTCCAGAAACAATGAAAAGCCACTACGGGTGGCCACGTGGAATGTTCGAACGCTCACTGCGGAGAAGAGGCTGCCACTCCTCTGTCGGGAGCTGGACCGGTACCGCCTGCATATGTGTGGCATTCAGGAGGTCCGGTGGACCGGCTCTGGCTTCTGCCACCATGAGGGGTGGACAGTCCTCTACTCGGGGCAGCAGACTGCCAAACAACAGGGTGTGGCTCTTCTTTTGAACAAAAGAATGAACGGGTTCCGCAGGATTGGAAGGATGCCCTGGTGGTCCCCCTCTTTAAGAAGGGGAACCGCACAGACTGTAACAACTACAGGGGCATCTCACTCCTCAGTGTGCCGGGAAAGGTCCTGGCAAGGATTATTCAACATCGCCTCACCAGGCACGCTGAGGAGAGGCTTGCGGAGCCCCAATGCGGTTTCAGGAAAGGGCGGTCCTGCACAGATGCCATATTTTCTGTCCGTCTGCTACAGCAGAGGTGTAGGGAATTCCAACAAGACCTACATCTCTGCTTTATTGACCTGGTCAAGGCCTATGATACCATCAATAGGCCTGGGCTCTGGGTTGTTCTTCATGCTTTTGGAGTCCCTGACCCTCTGCTCACCATCATTAAGGACCTTAATGATGGTGAGCGGGCCCGGGTAAAACTAGGTGGCCGGGAGTCAGAGCCATTCCCTGTACACCTTGGGGTGCGACAGGGATGTCCTCTGGCTATTTTGACCACGTAGTTCGTGAAGCATTCAATAGCTGTACCAGGGGAATGTCCATTTGGTACAGATATAATGGGAGGCTGATCGATGCCCAGGTGCAGTCAAGGGATGGCTCCCTATTGCTTAACCACGTTATGTATGCCGATGATTTGGTAATAGCTTCTCATTCAGAGGAGGAGTTGGAGACGCTGCTGCTGAGACTGGAGCGTGCCACTAAGAGATGGGGCCTTACCATCAGCCCCACCAAAACTAAGCACCTGCCTGGGTATTTTGTACCATCTTACACTCCACCCCCACAACTCCCAATCGGTGATGGGGCAGTTGTGGAGAGAGTGGAGAGTTTCCCATACCTGGGCAGTGTGCTTATGACCGGCTCCAGTTTAACAGCAGAGGCCTCACTCCGAATCAGTCGAGTGGCAATATCTTTTCATCGGTTGCGTAACGCTGTGTGGAAGCTACCTGGCCTGTCACTCCGCACTAAGCTTCAGGTCTTCTCGGCCACGGTCATTCCCTCCCTTCTCTCCGCTTGTGAAACGTGGACCCCCTTAATGGAGCATCTTCGCCGGTTGGAAACATTTAGGCTGGCCTGCCTACGATCCATCCTGTTTTTATCCAGGCTGGATTGTGTGAGGAGCTCAAAAATCCTTGAAAGATCTGGGCAAGGTCCAATCGGTGAGCTCCTCCAGCAGGCAAGGCTGCGTTGGCTAGGTCATGTTGCCCGCATGCCCAGCCACCGCATGCCGAAACAGCTTTTGTTTGACCGGATCGAGGGGGCTAAACGGGCGCGGCACGGGCTAGAGAAGAGATGGAATGATGTGATACAGGAGGACGTGGAGCTGAGTGGACTTGCCGATGATTGGTACCAGCGGTGTCAAGATCGGCCTCTGTGGAGGAGGCTCGTGAAGGACGCTATTGGGCAGTTAGAGGCAGTCGCCCTCCAACAACAACGCAGGGCGGAGGAGCGACGCTCACAAAAACGAGCGGAGCGCCGGGTGGCTAAAGCACAGCAGGTTGGCACAGTAGGGGGCACAGGTGGTGCATCAGCCAGTCATCTCAGTCTGTCGACCCGTGGCACCTGGGTCTGCCCCGTGACCTCCTGCCCACGGGCGTTCGACGCTTCACGTGACCTCAAGGTGCACATGGCCTGGCACAAGCGTCGTGGTGACTTCACCGCCACTTAGTGGCGAATGGCGGTTGTTATTGTTGTATGTGGAGGGGGACAGGCGTCCATGATGTCTCCTGGCACAAAACCCCATTTGGCGGAGCCAGGAGACTGAATCCCGGTACCCTCGGGGCTCCTCCAGAAGCAGCAAAATGCCACTGCGTGTGGCCACGTGGAATGTTCGAATGCTCGCTGCAGAGGAGGGGCTGCCACTCCTCTGTCGGGAGCTGGACCGGTACCGCCTGGACCTCTGCGGCATTCAGGAGGTCCGGTGGACCGGATCTGACTCCTGCCACCATGCGGGGTGGACAGTCCTCTACTCGGGGCAGGAGACTTCCAAACAACAGAGTGTGGCTCTTCTTCTGAACAAAAAGAATGAAGGGGGCGTGGGAGCGTGGCGGTGAGGTGTGGGAAGCTGTAAGCCCCAGGCTACTTTGGGCTCGCCTTCCCATCAACCGGAGGTGAGGAGTGGCTGTCGTAGTTACTCAGGAGGGTATTGGTATTGGTGTGGGTATGGGTACCTGTGTCTATGTGTGTGTCTGTATGTGGCGTGGTGCTGGCTACCCACCCCCTCGTGTGCCGTTCTGGCCTTCATAGGTGCTCGCTAACAGCACTTGCCCCAACAGTCTGTTCAGGCTATAGGGGGGGATCTTTGTCTTTTTTTTGTCTGTGTGTGTTCGTGGTGGGTGTATATGTATATATGGGTGAGTGCATGTGTGGGTGTATACGTGTGTCTGGGTGTGAATGTGTGTGTGGATGCGTGCTCTTGTGTGTGTCTTTGTGTGTGTGTGTGTCTCTGTGTGTGTCTGTGTGTGGGTGCGTGCATGCGCTTGTATGTGTTTTGTGTGTGTGTGTGTGTGCGCGCGCGCGTCTGTCGAGGCTGCACGGGGTGGGTGGGGTGGTGGGGGTGGGTTATGACCTGCGCCCGTGCGCTCTGCTAGACCCCCGAGGAGGCGTGCGCCCACAGCGGCTTTTGCCCCAAGGGCCCGACCCTCGGCACGTCCAAGGTGACCCGGCTACAGCTCAAGGCGCTCGGGGTAAGCGGAGGAGCGGGAAAAAGGTCGCGCCCAGCCACGCCCACAATTCTGCCCAGGAGCCACGCCCACAATTCTGCGCAGGAGCCACGCCCACAATTCTGCACGGGAGCCACGCCCACAATTCCACTCGGAAGCCACGCCCACAATTCCTTCACCTTCCCCCCCCGGGTGTCGCCCATAGACTCAACACTACCCATAGACTCAACACTGCTCAGATAGACTCAACACTACCCATAGACTCAACATTGCCCATAGACTCAACGCTGCCCATAAACTCAACACTGCCCATAGACTCAACACTGCTCAGATAGACTCAACACTGCCCATAGACTCAACACTGCTCATAGACTCAACACTGCCCATAGACTCAACACTGCCCATAGACTCAACACTACCCATAGACTCAACACTGCCCATAGACTGAACACTGCCAATAGAGTCAACACTACCCATAGACTCAACACTGCCCATAGACTCAAGACTGCCCATATACTCAACATTGCTCATAGACTCAACACTGCCCATAGACTCAACACTACACCATAGACTCAACACTGCCCATAGACTCAACACTGCCCATAGACTCAACACTATCCATAGACTCAACACTGCCCATAGACTCAACACTGCACCATAGACTCAACACTACCCATAGACTCAACACTGCCCATATACTCAACACTACACCATAGACTCAACACTGCCCATAGACTCAACACTGCACCATAGACTCAACACTACACCATAGACTCAACACTGCCCATAGACTCAACACTGCCCATAGACTCAACACTACACCATAGACTCAACACTGCACCATAGACTCAGCATTACTCAGATAGACTCAACACTGTACCATCGACTCAATACTGCACCATAGACTCAACACTGCACCATAGACTCAGCATTACCCAGATAGACTCAACATTGCACCATAGACTCAACACAACCCTAAGACTCAACACTGTGCATAGACTCAACATTTCCACGCATAGACTCATCACTGCCCATAGACTCAACACTGCACCATAGACTCAACACTGCACCATAGACTCAACATTTCCACGCATAGACTCAGCACTGCCCATAGACTCAACGCTGCACCATAGACTCAACACTGCACCATAGACTCAACACTGCACCATATACTCAACACTGCACCATAGACTCAACATTTCCAAGCATAGACTCAACACTGCACCATAGACTCAACACTGCACCATAGACTCAACACTGCACCATAGACTCAACATTTCCAAGCATAGACTCATCACTGCCCATAGACTCAACACTGCACCATAGACTCAACACTGCACTATAGACTCAACATTTCCACGCATAGACTCATCACTGCCCATAGACTCAACACTGTACCATAGACTCAACACTGCACCATAGACTCAACACTGCACCATAGACTCAACACTGCACCATAGACTCAGCATTACTCAGATAGACTCAACACTGCACCATCGACTCAATACTGCACCATAGACTCAACACTGCACCATAGACTCAGCATTACCCAGATAGACTCAACACTGCACCATAGACTCAACACTTCACCATAGACTCAACACAACCCCTACTGCCCATAGACTCAACACTGCCCATAGACTCAACACTACCCAGATAGACTCAACATTGCACCATAGACTCAACACTACCCATAGACTCAACACTACCCATAGACTCAACACTACCCATAGACTCAACACTGCCCATAGACTCAACACTACACCATAGACTCAACACTACACCATAGACTCAACACTGCACCATAGACTCAACACTACACCATAGACTCAACACTACACTACACCATAGACTCAACACTGCACCATAGACTCAACACTGCACCATAGACTCAACACTGCCCATAGACTCAACACTACCCATAGACTCAACACTGCACCATAGACTCAACACTACCCATAGACTCAACACTACCCATAGACTCAACACTGCCCATATACTCAACACTACACCATAGACTCAACACTGCCCATAGACTCAACACTGCACCATAGACTCAACACTCCCCAGATAGACTCAACATTGCAGAATAGACCCAACACTACCCAGATAGACTCAGCACTACCCATAGACTCAACACTACCCATAGACTCAACACTACCCATAGACTCAACACTGCCCATAGACTCAACACTACACCATAGACTCAACACTGCACCATAGACTCAGCATTACTCAGATAGACTCAACACTGTACCATCGACTCAATACTGCACCATAGACTCAACACTGCACCATAGACTCAACACTGCACCATAGACTCAGCATTACTCAGATAGACTCAACACTGCACCATCGACTCAATACTGCACCATAGACTCAACACTGCACCATAGACTCAGCATTACCCAGATAGACTCAACATTGCACCATAGACTCAACACTACCCATAGACTCAACACTACCATAGACTCAACACTACCCATAGACTCAACACTGCCCATAGACTCAACACTACACCATAGACTCAACACTACACCATAGACTCAACACTGCACCATAGACTCAACACTACACCATAGACTCAACACTACACCATAGACTCAACACTACACCATAGACTCAACACTGCACCATAGACTCAACACTGCACCATAGACTCAACACTACACCATAGACTCAACACTACACCATAGACTCAACACTACACCATAGACTCAACACTGCACCATAGACTCAACACTGCACCATAGACTCAACACTACCCATAAAGGCAACACTACCCATAGACTCAACACTTCCCATAGACTCAACACTGCACCATAGACTCAACACTGCCCATATACTCAACACTACACCATAGACTCAACACTACCCATAGACTCAACACTACCCATAGACTCAACACTGCCCATAGACTCAACACTACACCATAGACTCAACACTACACCATAGACTCAACACTGCACCATAGACTCAACACTACACCATAGACTCAACACTACACCATAGACTCAACACTACACCATAGACTCAACACTGCACCATAGACTCAACACTGCCCATAGACTCAACACTACCCATAGACTCAACACTGCACCATAGACTCAACACTACCCATAGACTCAACACTACCCATAGACTCAACACTGCCCATATACTCAACACTACACCATAGACTCAACACTGCCCATAGACTCAACACTGCACCATAGACTCAACACTCCCCAGATAGACTCAACATTGCAGAATAGACCCAACACTACCCAGATAGACTCAGCACTACCCATAGACTCAACACTACCCATAGACTCAACACTACCCATAGACTCAACACTGCCCATAGACTCAACACTACACCATAGACTCAACACTGCACCATAGACTCAGCATTACTCAGATAGACTCAACACTGTACCATCGACTCAATACTGCACCATAGACTCAACACTGCACCATAGACTCAACACTGCACCATAGACTCAGCATTACTCAGATAGACTCAACACTGCACCATCGACTCAATACTGCACCATAGACTCAACACTGCACCATAGACTCAGCATTACCCAGATAGACTCAACATTGCACCATAGACTCAACACTACCCATAGACTCAACACTACCCATAGACTCAACACTACCCATAGACTCAACACTGCCCATAGACTCAACACTACACCATAGACTCAACACTACACCATAGACTCAACACTGCACCATAGACTCAACACTACACCATAGACTCAACACTACACCATAGACTCAACACTGCACCATAGACTCAACACTGCACCATAGACTCAACACTGCACCATAGACTCAACACTACCATAAAGGCAACACTACCCATAGACTCAACACTCCATAG